AACTAGAGTTTATTTTTGTTTTTACCTTTAGATTACCCGGACACAGATATTGCTGAGAAAGGAGGTGATATTGGTGAAGTGAAACATCAATGATACAAAAGAGGGAGCTACACAAAGATATTACTATTCCAGTCAGAAGGAACAGCAAGTGCAAAGGCCCCAAGGCAAGAATAAACCTGGAATGTCAATCAAAACCACGATGAGCTACCACTCACATCTGTTAGAATGACTATTAACAACAAAACAAGAACTAACAAAACTAACAAGCTGGAGAGGATGTGGAGAAAAAGGAACCCTCAGACACTGCTGGTGAGAATACACTACTGGTGGGAATGTAAATTGGTACAGCCACTATTGGAAAACAGTATGGAGATTCTTCAAAAAACAATTAAGAATAGAGCTACCATATGGCCCAGCAATCCCTCTTCTGGGTACCTACCCAAAAAACAACAACAACAAAAAACCCAAAAAACAAACAAAAAAAAACCTTGAAAACACTATTTATAAAGATACTCCTTCCCCTGGCTGCCGGCACCAGCTTCCCTCTGGCACCTGGGACTCGGGCTTCCCTCGCAGCCATGGCTTCAACTGGAAGGTCGTCCAGAAGGATGTTTGGTCTAATTAGCATATTGTGCTTTTATTATTATAGATATGTACCCCTATGTTCTCTGCAGCATTATTCACAATAGCCAAGACATGGAAACAACCTAAGTGTCCTTCAACCAATGATTGGATGAAGATGTGGTACATAAATACAATGGAATACTATTTCTTTTCTATTATGGATTTCAGAGAGGAAGGGAGAGGGGGAGAGAAAGAGAAACATCTAGGATGGGAGAGAATCATGATGATCGTCTCTGTCCTGCACGCCCCACACTGGGGATCGAGCCCAAAGCCTGGGTGTGTGCCCTGACCAGGAATTGAACCGTGACCTCCTGGTTCATAGGTCAATGCTCAACCACTGAGCCATGCCGGCTGGGCAATACATTCAATTTTTAAAAAGAATAAAGAAAGGGTTGGTATGACTGACACATGGTAGATGTTAGAGGGAAAAATGAGAAAGATGATGTTTGAGAGGTAGATGGTCATGTTATGAACACAAGCAGGGATTCCTGCAGACTCTAGTTCATGGACTCTTTTCTATGAAGTGGTTTTCTTGGCCAGGGCATTATCCTATATATGATGAAGCAGAAGGCATTCTAAGTCCATGAATGTTGGTATTGGCTAAGTTATGTTAGGCAAGGAAAGCAGATCCAAATTCAGAACAACATCCATTTCCATGAAAAAAAATCAAGCTTTGCCCCAATGAAATGAACTTGCCACCATGGAGCTGCTGGTCTTAGGTGTGTTTTACATTGCATTCACCCATAAGCCAATGCTGAGACAAGGCTTACTTGTGGGGTGTATTATTAATACACTTGTGGGTATATTTCTTGACCAGAAAGACCAGAAATGCTCAGGAGATGACCATGTAAGCACCTGGCTGCTTTGTTCTTAATCTCTGTGGGTTCTAGGCCCAATCCTCAAAGTTCATTGGCAAAGCCCTTCCCAAAACCTTCACAGCAATTTTCAATGTTGCTCTTTTCAAGTCTCTGACATATAGCCAGTGACTGGTGACAGAGCCAGACTCAGGTCATGTTTCCTTCCAGTCAAAATACATGATAAAAGGCATTGCTTGAAAGCCTGCCTGATTCCTGCTAAAATCCTGCCCTCTGCTGTCCTTCAAAACAGCTGCTGATAGGGGGTGTGGTACACAATAGGAGACTTCCAGCTGGTAGTGCATCTTGTACAACATCTATAAACCAGACTTGACTTTTATTATTCTCAGTTAATTGGCCAACAACTCTCCGCCAGGGCGAAGGGACAGACTGGCCGGGACAAGGTGTGGAAATAGTGTCATCGAAAGCACAGAGTGGAAAGAAATCTGCTCACACAAACTAAGTGCCTTATGGCCTGCTCTGGCCCCATCTACGAGGTGATGGAGTGTTACTGGACATGGTCCACTTTATGAGTAGGTGGGTTAGATAGTACCTGAGTCCCATGGTCTCCAACACACTAGTAGCAAATCGAAGCTGCTTCTGAAAAGGAAAGTAGCCAGGGGTTCATGGCCTTGCTACCCAATCCTGTGTGCTTCCATGATTTTCTGGAGAGACTTGTTTCTGATTTCACTAAGTCTCCCAGGTATTTTGAGAGGGCTGAGGAGCAGAACTGCTTAGATGGCAGCCTGGGCCTCCTACAGAGACTGCTTTGCACTGACAGCTTCTCAGGTCACCTAGAAAATAAATCTACAGAACACCCGTGTGCCATATGCTGTCTCTACCATAAGGTGCTGTGCTTTTCCTAGTTGTAGAAGGGGCAAGATGTAGCAATGAGTCCTTACCACTGGAGGGGCTATCACCACATGTACTAGACCACTGAATCCCTGGGGATATTACTAAGCAGTCAAGTGCTTGTACCTCTGTGAGATTCAGAGTTCATCCTTGAATACATGAATCTACCATGGCATTCATGTATCTGGTATTTCCAACACAGTGTGTTAATGTGATATCCTATGGTTTGGTGATGCATTAAATGTCCTCGTGTAGCACACAGCTGGACTTGACATCTGTGAGACAGATTTATAAAGCTGTTTCTGTCCCTGCCAGGTAAAAGCAAACTGCTAGGGGACTCTGCTAACTAAAATGGATAAAAATGCAGTGGTTAGAGTCAGACCAATAGTTACATATCGAATGTAACTAAGGGTGTTAACTAAGTTAACCTTGCTTAACTAAGGCTGTTCTAAGATGCTCCAATAGAGACCATTTCAGGAACAGCAGCTGTAATTCGGATCACCTCAAGATTAAGTTTTAATGCAGAGTCCACTGTCATTTCCAAGAGCCATCAATCTTTCTCACTGGTCAAACGAAGTACACTCTCCACTTGGGGATATGACAGGTTACCACATTTGTATCTTTCTACCCTCTATGTTTGTACTAACTTCTGTAATTACCCCCCAAAAGACATACTGCTTTTTTAATTAGTATTTTGGAAGAACAAATGCTCCAATGAATTTCCCTTGGCCCTTCTACCACAGAGCCCTTACTCCTTAGGGCAGGGAGCCAATGGAGAGATTCTGCAAAGGCTGTGTATCCTATCTACACTAGGAACCGAGGAAATGAATCAAGGGTGATGGAGGGGGATGGGGGGAGAGAAGTCCAGTGTCCAATCTTCCTCCCATGACCTCTATTCTGACCAGGAGTCATAGTCTTCTCAATCCCCCATAACTTAGAACAAGTATCCACGGATCCCTAAAAATTTTGGATATTTCTCATTTCAGACTGCATATCACCTAAAGAAATAGTTAGGTGAAAGGTTCATAACACACATAGCAAACCTGGCAGTTTGCTTTTACCTGTTATAGCAAAGGCCCTTAAATCAAGGGTTCTGGTCCTGAGAATTAACTCAGTTCTAGGAATTGAGAAGCTGTGATCCTCTGACTTGATTCAAGTGTCTGTTACAAAGACCTATCAGGTTGCCTGACTCTAAGATTACCTAACCACTTTAAGAGATTGTGCTAATCCAACATTTCCTAATTACTACCTTTCCATCTTCTCCCTCCTCAAGAAGACGCACACATTTTTCTTCTAGCAGGTGACCCTCCAACATGCTTGACGGGAAAGAACAGCAAGCGAGGACAGAACTTCCAGTTGCTCACAGGTTTCCGTTTTAGGCCCTGGCAGAAAAGTTACTGAAGAGGCCGATGACCGAGCATGTGAAATCTCAATCTAGCACTGGCCAGCTCTTAGTGTTTGGTCCTGCTCTACATTGGTCCACCAGCAAATTGCAGACAGCTGCCCAAAACAGCACATGGAATATAGTATCTCCTGAGGGTACCAAATTCAACCTGATCCAGCTAAGTAAGGGATACTCAGCAGTGAGAATGTGAGAAAACTGGTTTCCTATAATTGAGAAAGACATTCAGGAGAGCCAGTTTGGTGTGTTTTCTTTAGCTCGGTAGTTCACAACCTCAGCTGCAATGGAACCATCGGTTGGAGCCCTCAGAGAGGCTGGTTTAATAGCTTGGGCCTCTAGAGCTAAAAAATTGCCTGAGGTGATGTTAAAGCGCACTCGGGGACTTCCTAGCTCCTGCCAGATGTCCCTATACCAACAACCAGGACCCCCACTCTATCCCATAATTTTCATTTAAGAAACTTGAGGTTAGCTAAGTCATTTTATTGTCCAGAGTTTCACTCAATGCCTTGAGTTGAGGTTTGGGAATCAAGGTTCATTCTCTCCCTTAAGTTATCCAGTGCCCTTGAAAGCAACTATCTGACTCCATAATCCTTGCATTCTTTTTCCATCACCAGTATATTGTTCTATGGTGGCTGCTAAGCAGTATCCAAGGACCTTATCCTCAAGGAGCTCATGGATCCTGGTAACTAAAACCAATGGCCTGACAAGCTACTGGATTACTGAAGCTGCAAGCTTTCTATCCAGAATACAGAGGGCAGTGGCACTACCTTTCGTCCTACCCAGAAACAACCAATGCCAAAGACCCCTCATTTCCCTGAAGGTCTGCCTACAACCCATTTTTTGGAATCAATATAGACATTAAAGTTCTTTTGTTTGCAAACAACAAAAAAACAGTGACCCTAGTTAGCTTAAAGAAATAATATAGTGGATGGATTCTAGGATGGTTCACACATCCAAATAAACTGGAAAGAACCAAAGCTCAGGAAACATGAAATCTCTGAAAACCTCCATAGAGCTTCCATAAAAGCCATCCATCCAGTTCTGTTCACTCAACCTCTGTTCACTCGAGAAGATCCGCTGGGCTCAGCTCAGCTTTGGGTCTTCCCCTATCAATCAGCTATGGTAGGAAGGCAGGGTCGCAAAGCACAGACATGACCCCAGGTAAGGAGAACTGTAAACCAGCACCCACCCCAACAGAAGTCTACTTCAATTACCCACATCTGTAAGCCTCTATTTTGCAACTGATAAATAACAAGGGCAAAAAGACATTGTTTAATCAAATAATTTTAATTAACAGTAAGCAGCAAAAGTGCAATGACATGAAAAGCCTCATATTTTACATGTTTAAATTATTCACTGTCTTTACTTGTAAGGTGTTGAAGGTGGGACCCACTCCTGAATCTTCTTTCTAGTGGTGGAATAAGGTACATATTGCTCTGAAGTGCCACTCAGGTTGAATTTATGGTTTGTCCAAATGAATTTACGAGCAGTAGGTGGTTTTGTTGTTGGAGGATCATCAGTCATACAGTGAAGCCAACGGTGCCTTAAAGAGAGGAAAGAAGACAGTTAAGAAGAGGCCGTGCAGTGTCAGGGAGGAAGGTTAAAAGGGCAGCTCTGGGGCTATTTTGTTGCTTGAGCTCAAATCTTAGCTCCATCACTAACTAAGTGAACTTTTCTATGACTTCGTTTTTTCATCTGAACATCTTATTTCCTAAGGAGGGATAAGGATTAAATGAGATGATACACATAAAGCACCTAGAAAAATTCCTGTGCATAGTAGGAATTCAACAAATGCTAGCTATTACTATTATCCTTACTGTATTTCATCAAATCTAGGACACCCTCAATTTTAAGATACACCATTATTTTATGTATCTCTAAAAATTAAAAAATGCTGCCAATTAAATTATGACACTATTGATAGAATATGTACCTAATTTTAGATGTAAAGATATGTTAGAAAATTGATGAACTACATTATCACTATGAGATGCTACAGGCTGACCCTGGAGTTCCTGTGTGCTGAGTTGCTCTGTCTCATGGAGCTGTAGTTGGAAACCCAATGCTGAGGAAAAGGAAGAGGTAGAGGGTCTCTATGTGCACCTTAAATTCAAGCTTAAGTCTGACACTGGAGAACATAACATTTGTTACCTTAAAATTATTAGATCACAGTTCACAAGTATTTCAGCTTTAAGCGTTTAACCATTTAATTTCAAAGGATACTTGCTGGGAGGGGCCAGAAATCTGGCCTAAAGGAAGCTAGGAGCTTTCCTTGGAGTCTACAGGGGAATGTCTCTCGAATGACAGAGAAAGGAAGAATCAATGTCCAAGGGACAAAGAGTAGAACTAAGCAGGAAGCCAAGCTGAATTTATATGGGAAAGGAAGGAGAGAGAACTCATCCCAGATCCCTCAAGGCTCAGAGCTCATAATACAGATATGACCCTATAAAAACAGGGAATGAGGAGACAAGCATAGAACGCAGCTCCAAGAAAAAAGAAAAAAAAAGGTTGACCAGCTACAGAGAAACGGGTAAGAGGAGGAGGTTTCACTAAAATAATTAAGACTAAACCTAATAAGAAAAATTCATGATGCTATGTATGTTCGAGTGTTTATTAGCAATAATTGATAATACATAAAATCTGAAAATGTTTACCCAGGAAGGCTACTGACAAGAGTCAGGGAATGAGTAAACAATTTATTCTCATAAGAAACAGGCTTGCCGAAACCGGTTTGGCTCAGTGGATAGAGCGTCGGCCTGCGGACTGAAGGGTCCCGGGTTCAATTCCGGTCAAGGGCATGTACCTGGGTTGCGGGCACATCCCCAGTAGGAGATGTGCAGGAGGCGGCTGATCGATGTTTCTCTCTCATCGATGTTTCTAACTC